ATTTATAACTAGCTTAAGCCTATCTATCTCTAGGTTTAGGACCCCCAAGTTCAGCTTCCTTGCCTTGAAAACCCTTCTCAAATTTTTGAATTTTGCATTGATGACATTTGCTCTATCAGTCAAATTATTTTGCTGACTCCAGTTGTCCTGCACCAACTGAAGAAAATTTGGATGTTCCAACCAATAGTTTTCAAACCTGAATAGAGTCCTTTTTGGAATGGCAGTTTGAATACTAATTATGCAGGGACTGTGATCTGAAGGTTCCATACTCATTGTAGTAGCAGATGTCACTGGGTATGATATGGTCCAATTGCTTGAAGTGAAAAACCAATCCAATCTTTCCAAAAGAGGTGAGGGCTGTTTGTTTGACCAGGTGAACAGCTTGCCATGGAGAGTGATTTCAGTGAGGTCTAGGGAACTAATTGCTTCATTGAAAAGACCCTTTTCAGTCAAATCCCCTACTGGCCTATTCCTGTTCTCGGGCTTCCTTATCAAATTGAAATCACCCACTATTAACCAGTCAATGTTATCTGGCATATCAATACTTTTGAATGGATCTAGAAAGATTAACTTTCCTTCATGGGTACAAGGTCCATAGATGTTTGAGAGTACCTAAGAGAAGTTGTTGTGCAATGAAGTCATTTCAGTACAGAGAGCAAAACTATTCTGGAAGATAACCTGACCTTTAAAAAGATCCCCAGAAGCACCCACAGAAGGCTGGAAAACGAAACAATCAAAACTTGCAGGGGCAAATTTTTTAAGGAAGAGAGGGTCCAACACCTCTCTCTTCATTTCCTGAATGCAAACAATATCACACCCCGAGCCCACAATTTTATCCCTAATTGCACTCCATTTACATTCAGAGTTAAGACCCCTCACATCCCAACAAAGAATTTTTCAATTTCTGACGACTGAATTCATGATAACTTAATTAGATAGTTGGGGGACTTCTTAATTCTTAGAGTTATTGGCCTTATCATCTTCTTTCTTGGTAATATTTTTCTGCATTTGCTTCCTTCCAACTGCTCTAGCTGACTTCTTCTTGACAAAAAGAGCTTCTAGAAAAGTTTCTCCTTTGACCAAAATCAAGAACTATACAAGACTGCCTTGCATGGGCTTTTGAATATCTGCACATCTGCCATCATTCAAGAAAGGAAGTAATCATCCTCAAGCTAGATTTTGAAAAAGCTTTTGATAAGCTAGAACATGAATTCATCCTTGACATTCTAAGGCATAAGGGTTTTGGCCAAACTTGGATTTCTTGGATCCAAAGCATTTTTTCATCTGGCACTACCAAGATTCTTCTAATTGGAGTACCAGGTAAAACAATTCAATGTAGAAGAGGTGTCAGGCAGGGTGATCCCCTCTCCCCTCTACTTTTTGTGCTAGCAGCTGATTTTCTATAGACTTTGGTAAATTTAGCAATGAATAGGAGATTAATCAATAGGCCAATACTCCTGCAATCAAGCCTAGACTTTCCAATTGTACAGTATGCTGATGACACCCTCTTAATAATGGAAGCTGATGCAAGACAGTTGGTTTTCATGAAAGCTCTTCTCAATAGTTTTGCAGAAGCAACATGATTGAAAGTCAATTTTTCAAAATCAGTCATGGTCCCAATTAATATTTCTGAAGAGAAGTTGGATCATCTCTCCAGAACCTTTGGCTGTTCAAAAGGCTCCCTCCCCTTCACCTACTTGGGGCTTCCCCTAAGCCTAGCAAAGCCAAAGCTAGATGACTTTCTGCCTGTGGTCAACAAATGTGAGTCAAGACTAGCTAATATCTCCTCTTTTTTGTCTCAGGCAGGTCGGCTAGAACTCACTAATTCAGTATTTACTGACTTGCCAACTTATTGCATGAGTACATTGCTTCTTCCTCCAACCATAATCAAGCAAATTGATAAATATAGAAAACACTATCATTGGAAGGGAGGAGAGATAAATGCCAGGAAACCACCCAAGGCTGCTTGGCCCCTAGTCTGTAGATCAAAAAAGGAAGGAGGACTTTGCAAACTCAAAATGAAGCTCTGTTACTCAAGAACTTAGATAAATTCTTCAACAGGAAAGATCTGCCATGGGTTAATCTAGTTTGGGAAAAATACTATAGCAATGGCAGATTACCAGGTGGCACCAAAAAAGACTCTTTCTGGTGGAGGGATATTCTTAAGTTGCTCACCAAGTTCAAAGGAATAGCATATGTTTCAGTTCAAGATGGTTCAAGTGTCCTTTTCTGGGAAGATCAGTGGAATAACTTAGTGCCAAGATTGGAGTTTCCAGAATTACACTCTTTTGCAAAGAATAAAGCTATAACCTTACAAAAAGTATACTATCATAATGAAATCTCCAAATTTTTCCATTTACCACTCTCTGTTGAGGCCTATGCTCAGCTGCATCAGATAGTTCACATGATTCAAAATTTAAACTTGACTGAAGATAATGACTCCTGGAGCTACATTTGGGGTTCAAGTTTGTTCTCATCCTCAAAAGCCTACAAAGCTTTGGTAGGAAAGACTGAAGCACATCAAGCCTTCAATTGGCTCTGGAAATCTTTCTGCCAGCCAAAACACAAAGTTTTTTTTGTTGGCTGCTACTCCAAGACAGGTTGAGTACAAGAAACATTTTGAGAAGGAAAAATATGGTACTAGAGAACTATAACTGTGTGCTTTGCAGCAGCCAAGTCAAAGAAACTTTGGAACATCTTTTCTTTGACTGTCCTTTTGCTGCTAGCTGCTGGGATCTCATAGCCTTCCACTCTCTTGATGCTCTTTCAAGATTTCAAATAGTTGAATCTTTCAAATTGATCTTCAGCAAATAGTTCTTTATGGAAGTTTTCATCTTGCTTTGCTGGAGCATTTGGACAGAGAGAAATGATTTGGTTTTCAAAGGCCTCCAACCAAGTGTTATGAAGTGCAAAGTTAACTTCAAGAAAGAATTAACTCTGCTTTGTTTCAGAGTTAGAAGAAGATCAGAAATTTCTTTTGTTCAATGGTTAGAATCCCTGTAATTCTAAAAGTTCTCAAGGTTCTCTTTGTACTGGGAGTGGATTTGTCCACCTTCTTCCTCTCTTTTCTAGTCCCCTGAGACCTCTTAGTTCTAGTTTAGTTTAGTTTGTTTAGTTCAGTTTAGTGTTCTTTCCCAAAACTCTTGTAATCTCTTTATTTTCTGCTTTCTTTTAATAAATTTCAGTAGGGGCTTTGCCCCTCATGTTCCTTAAAAAAAATTATTCTCTTGTTGGCACAAGACTGCTGCGTACTAACTAGATCTTTATAATTATTGGAGAAAACGACTAATTAAAAGGATAAAACAGTTATTTAAATTGGATATGCAAACGATTAAATGGAAACGGTGCATCATCGTGTAGCGTGTTTAAAAGGTGAGTATAAGGGCTTAATGACCGTGATTATAACATGACAAGTACATGCCTTTTGAAGGATAATAGTACCGCGAGTCTAGGCAATTATTTGCTAGTTTTAAGTACTACTACACGACAGCAATACATATAACTCAAAAGGAAAGGGAGCCCTGAAAAAACTGTGGGGGTGGCTGCTTGACACCGGTTTACTGTGTGTTTAGCAACTGTTCGTCGGCTAGAAGCCTAGAACAAGGCCCCGACCGCTGCTTGCACGAGCTGAGCCGCAAAACGTGCAGGTGCAGCCGCCCCTGGTGGAAAGCGGCCGGGCGTGAGGGCGAGCAGCAGCAGAGCAACGCCAGCCACCCAAATGAGGAAGCCCGCCGCAGCGAGGGCGTGGGTGTCGTCGTTGGGACCGGCGGTGACGGCGTGGAAGATATCCGAGGCCCTTAGCACCATGAGTATCGCGGCGGCGGCGCAGAGGAGCCGGCGGCGACGGAGGGGGGGAGGGGAGAGGCGGCGGTGGGGGAGTGCTGCCGCGTTGAGGACGAGCAGCAGGAAGCAGCAGAAGATGGCGAAAGCTGCCATTGGTATTGCAGATCAGGACTGACAGAGTGGCATCATCAACCCCGAGCAGGAGCAGCACCATCCTTTTCTCCGGACTGTACGACTGCGGCTCTCAAGACTGTACCTCTGCGTGTGCATGGCTTGCTTCGCAGTAAGAAAGTTCCCCGCGTCCGCAACGACGCTACCACGTAGCCGGTTTATGGCGAGCTGGGAGACAAAAGCAAAGGCTATTTTATATATTCTTATTTTTTTATGTACTATTGAACCCACAATGTCTCTTTCTTAGATTTTTGGACTACGTAAAAATAAATCAGCTATTTGTTCATCGCCAGTAACTACTTTCTACTACTTTTTTCTTGTCCACGTCAGAATAGCTAGCCAAATAGCTAGCTGTTGGGATGCCATAATCCTCGGTCAATCTACATCTCCTGACGTGGACGATCTACACTTACATGGCGTGCCTGTTTACGATGGCAGCCAATCCATAACCAAAGCCACCCTAGATGAGTAGATGGGGATATTTGCTTCTAAAAGATTCTCCAGCATGGAAAGTGTCAAAAAAATGTCAAGCTCCAAGCCTAGGTTCAATAGACGTTAGAAGATAATAAAAAGACCACGTCTAGCTCAATAGATGTTCTAAAATTTTACCCCAATTTATGCAACTATTAGGGTACTTAGTTTACCAGATTAATAGTCGAAATTAGCATAATAAACCTCTAGGTATTTATATAATTTTGAGAAGATTATGAAACATTTAATAATAGTTAAATGTGAAAGGATTCACAATTTAAAAGTATAGTACAATCAAGTATTTATTGATTATAAATAAATGGTTACAGAATTTTCTAGTCTAAATAGCACTGCCGTCCATTTGGGACAAAATTTTGTTAGTTGACTGTATTGACCGTGGCACTTTTCTTTGAGAAGGACCAAAATGCCCTTCTGCTTATCACGCAGCTCGTCTCCTCTCCGACCACATGCGCGCACAGTCCTAAGCTCACTAGTAGCAAGGCAGCCAGCCAGCTGAGCTCCCAGTCCCAGTCCAGCACCGCAGCAGGACAACAGGTCGTCGGTCTCGTTTCGCCATGAGCAAGGAGAAGCACCACCGCGACTGGATCCTCCGCCGCTGCTGCGGCGCCATCGCCGCCTGCATCCTCACGCTCTTCGCCGTGGTCGGCTTCATCGTGCTCGTCATCTACATGGCGCTGCACCCCTCCAAGCCGTCCTTCTACCTCCAGGACGTGCAGCTCCGGTCCATCGACCTCAGCGACCCGGCGCTGTCCCTCGACCTCTAGGTACGCACAGCGTGTTAGCTAGCTAGTCTGATGCATGCAGTTGGCCACCCCCGGCCGATTTCGTGACGGCCGGAGGACGAACTAACACACGGTACCTGCCGGGCTGCCGGCCGGCACCACGACGACGACGCAGGTGACGATCGCGTCGCGAAACCCGAACGACCGTGTGGGCGTGTACTACAAGACGTTGGACGCGTTCACGACGTACCGCGACGAGCCGGTGCCGGTGTCGATGCCGTCGATCTACCAGGGCCACAAGGACTTGTCGGTGTGGTCCCCCGTGATGTCGGGCGACACCGTGCCCGTGGCGCAGTACGCGGCGGACGCCATGAAGCAGGACATCGCGGCGGGCTACATGCTGCTCCACGTCAAGGTGGAGGGCCGCGCCAAGTGGAAGGTCGACAGCTGGGTCTCCGACGGCTACCACCTCTTCGTCACCTGCCCCGCGCTGCAAAGAAGGGCATTCAAAGAAGGGCATTTATGTCATTTTACCAGCCACTTGACGCCGTTACTAACCTAAATGGAAGCCAATGCTATTTAGGGAAGAAAATTTTAACCTGGTGCCAAATAAAAACGTTCAATATTTTTAGTGCCAAATGCGAAAGACTTATTTATTTCAGTGCCAAATACATAATTCTCCCTAACTATATCTGCCGTGCCCTGTTCCTCCCTCAGTAATAACTGAAACGACCTGATTTCTGCGAAGGGAAATCCACATAGTCGAAGTGTATCATGACCGTTGTAGATCATATTACCCAAATTCCAGTCGAATACCACATCCATACAACGATAATATCAGAGTACAAATAGTGCAGAATTACATAAATTATTACATCGCCGTATTGGCGGAATCAAAAGTAGCATTCATTCAGAACAGCTTGAAGATAAGATCGCCAAACTCGAGCGTAGGAACGAACCCCTCAACCGTCAAACTCCTCAGAGCTATACTCCTCAGCAGAACCTGTGTGCCAAAATTTATCAGTACGATTTGTACTGGCCACTCCCACCCTATGAGCATTGCTTTGTGAAAATTGGATGCAAGTTGGATATATTCAAAAGGAACCTATAAGGCTAGGGTTTCCTATGTATTAGCATATCAAGTATATAATAATAGTTGGTCAAGTTTTAACACCATTCCCACACCCATTCCATCCTATTTTCGTCCAGAGCCAGGTTTCGATCCTGGGATCGATATACCACCATCTCCACATCATCACCACATCACCACCATACCATCGCTCAGTCGACATGTCAACTCCCTCTCGGCACTGTCTCATGGCCCGTAGCCTGTAACACCCCTGGTGTTAGGCTTGCATAATTGCACTTGCATTTCATGAACATGAGCATCATTCATCCATTCATTAGCTTATATCCCATGAAACATGTGAAACCTGACTATGAAACAAAAGTAACATTTCAATTGTTTCTCATTGTTTCAGTACATTCTGTGCTTGATTCTTGTGTGACCAATGTGTGGTATGGCTAAATATACTTTTAAATAACTTAGCTATACTTAGAAGGTCATTAGGAACAATGTTCATGTTGATCATTTTGCCTAATTAAGTTTGCAAGTCATGGTTTGACTAGTGTTGACCTCCTGAACTCTTTGGTTTGACTGTTTAAAAAGTACAACTTAGAGTCTATGCATGTCTGAGCAACCTAAAACAAAGTTGTAGCAAATTTTATAAGGAACAAACTTTGTTTAGAAACCAAGTTATGAAAATGTGCACAACATGCTCAAAAAGGGCCCACAAGTCAGAATTTGGGTTGGGTTCAACACTTAGAAAATTTCTAAGTACAAAAACCGAGTTTTTAGTTTCATGAACTCGACTTTGGCCTGATTTTACTCTCTGTCCTTTGCGAATTAGACCTTGATCTCTAAATGAGTTTTGTAGCTGGTATGTAGGTGTACAACTTTCGTTTTGATTTCTCACGCTAACGATCAATGGTTTAGGAGTTAATGGCCGGTGAAAACTCGCAGTTGGTTAGCTGAATCGGCAGCTACAGTGCCGACCGTTCCAGAACATCACCGCCGCGTGGAGGGACACTCGTCGCCGCTCGCTTGACGCGCAAGCCACGCGCCACGGCCGTCCTGGCGCTGCTGGCCATGTCTTGAACTCGCGCCCGCCTGCCTAACGCGCTCGCCATTTCATTGTCGCCTCCTCCGCTCACAGCAGCAGCAGCGCGCCGGCTCCTCCATCGACGCTGAGCAAGCGCCGTCGCCCAGCTCACTCGCCACCGCGAAAACGCTGCCTCCAGTTAGCCCACAGCGCCGCCGTAGTTGCCTTTAGCGCGTCCACCTCGCGGTTGAGCCAGTGAGTCTTAGTTGAGATCGCATTTTTCTTCCCCACGACGAAACGCCATTGCCGCCGTGAACTCCGTCGAGCTCCCGTGCACTCGCTGCTGCGTTTCACCTCGCTACATCTTGCCCACAGTTTTCCCACCATCTCCTATACCTATTCCTCCCTCTGGTCAAGGCTATCGTGCTTAGTCGATGGCGCATTCGCCGAGTCCGCAGCCGCCATGCTTCGACCTCACCGGAGTTGAGCTCACCGTGGCCGGAGCAATTGGGGCGTCTCCTTTCTCCGTTCTCTTCTTGGATAGCGTCACCGTGACCCCGTGAAGCTCATACCAAGCTTGGCCTAGGCAATGGGGGCTCGCCGTCGTCAGAGTCCCGCAGCGACCTCGCCGCCGTCCGCCATTGCCGACGCAGTCATAGCTAGAGAGTGGTAGCGGTCGGGGAAAGGGTATGGGTAGGTGCGTATCGTCGCTTGGAACCCGCCTGTGCCATTGGCCTCGTCGGAGATGTGGCCGCCGGCGAGTTTCGCCATTGCCGCGCCGTCGAGTGAGCCGTCCCCTGTTTTTCTTGTCGCTGACGCGTGGTCCCAGCTGATGTGTAGGTCCCGCTTGCCAGTGACCGTTGAGCAATAGGATAGTGCAAATATTCCAGGTTTCTATGCTGTTTTGTAATAATTGTATCTCCAGTTTTGTAGCTTCATAAATTGTGAAATAAATTTGGTAGTGTTCCTTAGGAAGTCTAGTATTTAGGAAAAATATAGTCTTGATACTTATAGTAGAAATTTTGGAAGATTTAAATGGAAATTTGGAATGTGTTTTTGAATGCATGCAAACTTGTTTATTTTATATCTAGAGTTTCTGTGGTCCAAAAATTATGAAATTTTGTGGGTAAACCATTCTTGCTTAGTATAAGCTTTGGTAAAAATTTGAGAGTCATTGCATGTGTGGTTTTTGAGTTATAGATTTTCCTTTCATCATTGATTGATACTTGTGTAAATTTTTGTAAATTATATAGGAATCCTATGACCATGAAATTTTGTGGGGAGTATCACAGTACCTTAAGGATGTTAGGAAAAATATGAAATCTGTTGCTTGGCACTTTTAACTAAGGTTTTCTATTTATGCCTTTTTAAGCACTTATGCCTTGTCATTTTTGTGTAGGCTATTTTACTTATCCAAATGCCATGAAAATTTTATGGTAGTCTACTTAGAGTAGTACTATGCTACTGTAATTTTCTCAGATTTTTATGAGCACCAGAAATATATGTTGCTGTGTAGCCCTAGTTTAAAATGAAATCAAATGATTTTCTTTAATGCGAGTTTAGTTAATAATGTTCGCTTTGGTGTATGTTTGAAGCATCTTAGTTTGCTGTGGTGATTTGGCATGTTAGTACAGTGGTTGTCGTAGTAGATAGTAGTAATGTTCTTGGATGATGTTGACTACCTTGTAGAAGAGCTTTGCTACTACTATGTCCAATGAAGTTAAACAAGGTCATCTACATTCCATACATCATGATCATTACATGTCATCTCTTCGATGCACCTATGCATTAGCACTCATACATCTGCATCATACAGGATCGCAGGAGGAGTTGCTAGTAGCAGTTCAGGAAGAGCAGACCAGGACAGATCCACAAGAAGTCCAGGCATAGGAGGTGCCAGAGGAAGAGGAGCAAGGAGAGGACTTGCCGGAGTGCGTGGATCACCAACCTAGTTCGTTCGAACGAGGCAAGCCCTGGAGCATTCTAAGTCTCCTAATTTACAAAAGCAATTCTTTCTATATATATGAGTTTATATATTGTTACATTAAGTTGTAGGAGTTGGTTGAAACCGTTGATGCATTTATTACTATCTTTGCCTACCTTATTACCTTTTACCCTGTTAGGTCAGGATCGAATAACTGCTTAGCCTTGCTTAGACCGGTAGCGATCGGTGATATCCGGTCACCTACATTATAGGTGGTTACTGGAAGAATTTAGCTATGGAAAGAATGATATCTTGGAATTAACCATGTGTGATGAATAATTGGAGACCGGACGGAAAAAGTTGGAAGCAGCCAGACAAGGTTTTGGGGTGCAGTTAGTTTTCTGTCTGCGTCGATTAAGGACCGATCGTTGCTCGTCCCTCTTGTCATGTTGAACGCATGCCTCACATTTAGCTGGCCGAATAAAGTACCTTTCGACCACGAAGCTAGTGACACCTTTTCGAGCCGGGATAAACTCGGATGCGCAGACCGGTGCTGAAGAGGGTATAACGGGGACGCGAAGAGTGATCCCAAGGTGCGTCCTGGCAGTCGGGTGGTCCCTGGGTAGTGCGGTCCATGACTGTTATCCCGCGGCTACTTGGAAAGTGTCATTGGTGATCTAAGCGACCCTGACGGGGGAAGCGTGGTTTGTGTGAGGAATAAATCACCAGCTGGTTAGGAATCGATTCGAATCGCCATCGCTCCTGTATAGTGAGCACTTGACTCGAGCTACGGCATCGTAGTAATTATTATGGAACAATGATGGTTATCTGGATGGTAAGGGATATGCTAAAGCTAAATTGGTAACTGGATGTTATTGGTTAATCAAGTGATTGCTGTAGTACATGTGCTTACCTAGATGAATAGGTTACCATAAATATGATGCAAAGTATTTAAAATGATGTCTTCATGAGAACTTATGCTTTTCACAAACAAGTCAGCTAGCCCACTAAAGAAA